CGTGCCCCTGCCTTCGACCTTCGCGTTTATCGTCGCCACAGACTGGTTCATTGACCGGTTCCAAACTTTAGTCAACGTCACGTGTGACACGGTCGTGTGCCGCATTGTTGCCGAACTAGTCGGGGAAACCATCGAAGAGGAGGACCGCGTTAGCCTGGTGTCTGCTGTCGACGACTTGGCTAACCACAACCCCAAGGTCAAGAAAGCCCTTGAATCGTCCTATGCTCGTGACTAGGTCACTGTTGCGATTGCGTGTTTGGGGCATTGACAGTGTTTCGTGTTTCCATTAAAAAAATGTACTATTGTGCATTTCACTTGTTTTGGCATAAAACTGGGTGTTCGTTTATGCTGGTTAAAGAATGGCGCACAAAGTGGACGTTCGATAGGTCGATAGTATAAAGTCTTTGTTTAGCCAATCACACTGTGCTTTCGTAAATTGATGTTCATCGCCATCGGGGAGGATGATGGGAAGGTCGGGATCCATGAAGGAGGTGCTGCATCGAGAAGAAGGTTTGACAGTGCGCGAAAAAGACTGTTTCACGCACTGTTTTCTGACCAATCAGAGCGAGTTGAAGTGAACGTGGTCTCGTCACGAAATATATTGGGTATTTGCGAATCTAACTGAGCAAATCACGAAATATACTGGCAGGCAGTCCACGAAATAACGTTAGAATGAATTCGACGTTCCAACGAAATTAAATGACGAGGTCGTGAAATATAATGAAGCTCCACGAATTTAAATGGGATTCCACGAAATATACCAGATATTTTTCGAAATCGCAAAAAGGTGTAACGTGACCGATCAGTGATCCGCCAAAATTAGGATTTTTTCCTTCTTGAATTACTCAGCGGCTATTTGTGCTAGAACAAAGATGGACACATAGTAGTCAGAAACGTACACTGTCCGACGAATGCAAAGAAATTTTCCAGTGAGCCGATTTTGATCCCTTTTTTACAATCTCTTCGTCACCAACCACATATTCTGCATGCAGAATCTTGAAGGCCCAACTGTGAGAAACTCTGCTCAACGTTCGCACGAAACGATTCGTGAACACAAATGTAATATTTTAATTATATAGAATATCATTATAGTTAGAATTTCTCAATAGTTATGGTACCTTTCATGTCGTACTGCTATCCATTATTAAACGATTATGTTATTTTAAGACTTACGTATAGTATACTTCGAAGTACCTCTTTTAAAAATGCTTTTCTATTAACTGTAAGTACGTTCTATTATTAAATACTTCGAAGTATTGTCGATTTGATACAAATTTTGGGTGGGGGTGCTATCGTATCACGCCAGTGATCCGGTTTGTGAACGAGTCTGATTGGCTCCATCACCTCGAACCCATACATACTGACCTAGTAGCTAACGAATATCAGCCACGTCGACGAGGGCACCTACAGAAACGTCCCGATGTCTGCATAGCAATACCATTGGTATTGCTTCACTGTCATCGGGACGTTCTTTGTAGTCCATACTCGTCCGTGGTGAATCCAATCGATATTGATATTACGCTGTAAAGTTAAAATCACTCAGCGGGCACTCAATGGCCTCGGCCGTTACTAGCTGCGTTGTCAGCTAGCGGACTTTACTGCTCCATGGTAAATCCAATCGAGAACCTGTAGTGAGCAATGAAACTCCGTGTGAAGACACGTTGCTTAGTGAGTCACTCGCTGCATTTATAGCTACAATGAATGCATGAGGAATTTTGAATGCGATATCTTAAGCATATTGCTGACCAAGTCATTCAAGGTATGTTTCTGATAACACCTAGTATACTGAGTAGTGGTGATTGTCGTAGGAGTTGATGTGAACCGTTTGTGTCAAAACGCTCTCCACCTCGACCACAGAGCCGAAAATATGGGCGACGAAATGGTTGGAGTCTACAGTCGTCACTCCTGCATAAATGCATCCATTGCGTTAACATTTATGCGAAATAGTCACGAAATATATTGGATGTTTGCGAATCTAACTGACCAAATTACGAAATATATTGGCAGTCCACGAAATTGAATCAGTGAAGTCGACGTTCCCACGAAATTAAGTGACGAGGTCGCGAAATATAATGAAGCAACGAATTTACATGAGATTCCACGAAATATACCAGATTTTGTTTTTTTCGAAATTATCCGCAAAAAGGTACTCGGAGTACATACGACGACGGACGGTGCTTACTGTTAATCAAATTATGATTGGTAGGATCACTTCGAAGTTCTATTATAATTCTGACCAATCAAAAGATCCAACACTTTTTGTTGACTTGAAATGGAATTCGCAGCCTTGCCCCTTTTTAATATCCAATCAGAGTCCATCACACCTTGTTTCTTACACACCATTGGCTATAACACTGGAAGCCGAGGTTCGCTTGAATTTTGTAGAGCATTGTGTGATATGCTGCATTGTGCACTGATGAGTTCACTCCGACTATTTCCAATGTGGTTCTCCCCTTGCAGCTAACATTATGTTGTGCGCTCGGCTGGGTCGCAATGCCGTGGCTGCTCTGGTGGGCCAACGCGGTGGTGAAAGACGTCGTGGACCAAGGCGTCTTTCACTACAAAGACTCGTGGGAGCACCCATCGCAAGTGCTGAAGTGGCGGCAATGTGAGGTGTTTGGCTCCTCAATTTTGAATTTTCAAACGATGCATGCATGTCATAAGGCCCCTAGTAAATTAATATCAAATAAAATTTAACGGAGTATAAATTTATACCAGGGAACAAACGTTGAGGGCTCACTGTACTAGTAGTAGTATTGCAGAACGAATGCAATTCAAAAGCTACATCGCTTTTAAGGTTGTTCATGGAAACTGATAATTTGATTATGCCGTGAAAGCTGTGTGTCTAGGCATTTAGAATCACTATTCACAGTCAGAACCGAAGTATCTTATCAGAGTCAAAAATTATGAGACTTGATGGAATTCGCAAGGTGAGCCACCTTGCTCCTTTTTAATATCCAATCAGAGTCCATCGCACCTTGTTTCTTACACACGATTGGCTATAACACTGGCAATTTTGAACTGTTTGGACGCTTGAATTTTGTAGAGCATTGTGCACTGATGAGTTCACTCCGACTATTTCCAATGTGGTTCTCCCCTTACAGCTAACATTATGTTGTGCGCTCGGTTGGGTCGCAATGCCGTGGCTGCTCTGGTGGGCCAACGCGGTGGCGAATGACGTCTTGGTAGCACCCATCGCAAGTGCTGAAGTTGCGGCTTTAGCACTTGCGATGGGTGCCACCAAGACGTCTTGCGCCACCCGCCCGCGCAACCACGTGATCACATCAGCAGGGAGGTGTATGGCACCGACACGGACTGGATGGTGGAATGAGGGATGACCACATTCATTGGGTTAGTAGGCAGTGTGGTAATGTTACTGACCGTGAAGTCTAGACCTGTTCGAATTGACCGAGTCCTGAATACCACATCGCATGATCTTGCTCTCATACACAGCCTACATAATTATCTCAATGCTCCTTGCTTCAACCGCCAACACAGGAGTAGAATATATCGCAACAGGGTATGATGAATCTATGCAGCGATTTTCGTGATTTCACGGCATCTGATTGGACAAATTGGACAATTTTGAATTCGCAAGGTGACCTGCCTTGCGAATTCCAAAAACAGACAGACACATGGAAAATAGAAATCACCAATTCAAACTTGAAGATATACTACGTAGTAATTAATTGAAACTACACAATTTCAGAATTATTTATGGAATTCGCAAGATGGTTCACCTTGCGCAGCATACAAAATTGCCTATTTCACCTTGCTTTTTCTGGTTAATGTATTTCACGCCGACGCCATAAAAAAATTATCTTAAATTGTTTTTTTACGTTAAGAATTATATTTTTT